ATTACCAGTTCCGTTCCGAGAATGAGCCTACAAAGTCAGCTGCATCCAGTCGATCAACAAAGCCATGACTCAAAAAGTAAGGTGTGAGATTAACCAACCACGCATCACTGTGTGCATGTACAGACACTACTGACCATCCGTACGCTGTTGTGAAGTTTGGTCCAACAGCTGAGTAGACGTTCCAATCGCCTATGAAAATGAAGCATGAATATCCAACAGATGAATCAGGAACGATAACATTCGACCTGTTCGTCCACCATCCGTGACCCCTTCCTCCCAAACGAGTTGCGCTTGAGTTTCTCGTCCCATTGGCAGATATCTTGAATCAGATAGCTCACCGGCTGGACTCCAACCTGTGCTGTTGGAGGAATGTGGGGCTATCGTGCTCTCGGATTTATTTCATTAGTTTTGGATCAAACTAATGACTCTTGAATGTGAGTGAGCAGTAAACATCACACCGATCCGTACGAAGACCTCTGTTTATGTTCCTCCAGAGGCTTTAGTTCGGTTACACCGGAATTGCTCGAAAAACTGTACTGACTAATATCAATCAACAAGCTCGCATAGATGAATTGTGCTATATAGTGTAAATGGAAAATAAAAGACGGTCCGACCAGCTTCCCGTTAGCCGGGTGGCTAGCACGCTTGCGATCTAATCATGTGACCATAAACTACTCACGTAAAAATACCTGTCAGGATTCATTAAAAATGACATCTAAAGAAACAATAACAAACAATAATTCTGACCAGCCTGGGTCAAGGATGCTTCACACAGTGGTAACCCACTTCACTTGCATCCGGATGGAATAATGAACGTGCACAGCTGACGAGCTCCACTGAAAGCAAATCTATAGAGTCCGGTGTTGCCCGGGTGTACCTCTGACTGACTGGACTGAGGATTGTTACGATTAACCCCGAGGGACAATCAGTCCAGATTAAAGCTTCAAATTATTTGAAGTCCTTAAAAACATGTGGAACGTAGTGATTTGGTCCTGAAAACAGTTGTTTATTATCTTAAGCTTCAGTGCTGTTCCAAACTTTAACATCAAAACTGAGACCTGATAGAATTTTTGAAAAGTTAAAGTGCTTTTCATTCGGAACTCTAATTTTGATTCTCGCACAGCTTAAATCAAAAACTACATGGAAGATGTTGTATTGATTATTATTAATTATTGATGACACTCCTACATTAGTTGTTCAGTACAGATGTATTTATGTAATAGTATTTATGTTTATATTTATGTGTGTAAATGCTTGTACAAAAGAAATCTTCAATCTGCTGGCTACGAATTTTGTGCAATTTTCCAAATCAGAAGCCACCCCAGTCAGTATAGATTTGTCATTAACTGCCCAGCATCCGTCGTCGGTTTCAGTGTAAGCATACGTTTCAACTGGAAGATTATAAATCATTCCGGTCGGTTGATTTCGGTCCATTTAGTCACGTGTGGAAAATTAACGAACGTAGCGATTATTTCATCAGCCTGCTGATTTTTTTGGCTAGGGGAGAGGTATATAATCGATGTGTTTAAACCGTGGCCTACAACGGGAACGGAAGTGTTCAACCAACTTCCTTCGCGTTTGCTTTGTCATTCCTCATTCTGTTGCAAACATCAGGGGACAAGTCATTTCCTGGAGACGAAAAGCCGTTTTATGATAAAGTGACAACGAGAACTTGGAGGCTGGGCTCGAACACGCAATCTCTGTGGTGGTGTGAAGGTGAACAACCCTACCACCCGAGAGTGAAGATTGTTTTGTTTAACACTATCAAAAATCTGGATACTGGTCGATCAACGGGGTCGTCAGTATCTCAGCTTGATAATAGTGTATTACTTAATAGGAAATATAAATTCATCCACCTATCCGTACATGTCTTTGTCTACAGATAGCCCCAAATAACAAATCACCAGATGAAAAAACCTTCCACTTCTAAAGTCAAAATGATCATCGATAAAAAGACTCACAATCAGTAGCCCGCAGAATAATTACTGTCTTGGATTATATGGGTTTTGTTGAAATTATAAACCAAAAAGAAGGAAATAAACAGTAAAACAGAAAATGTCGTTTGTTGGTCTTTTCGTATTTTTCCCCAACATTTACCCTATGGGATATACAGGTGTTGATCAAGCTCATGCAACATCACTCTCATTTTGCAAATACATCTCAATCTCCAATATCATACTAGTATATTGATGGCTATGGGTAAAGTGTATTGATTACTGATTTTACCTCCCACTGCTATGTTATTAGTTCTCTCCTATCACCGTATGAATCTACGCCACCTCGAGTGTTTCGATAAAATTTGCAGTAGTTCGAAATTTATCCCTCAGATTTGGGAGATATTTCAAGCAAAGCAACACGGGAATTCATTCTTTCAACAAGATTATTCCTGTTTCATGAGAGTGTTTATTACGTTGAGCACATGTATTCTAAATTGCTTACCTGCTTTCATTCAGTGCACAGTAACTGCTACTCTTCGAATGTATTGGCGGAAAGCATATTTTTTACGGATGAAGGTTGGTATATGTTCTCGCTTGAGGTTGTAGTAAAAACCGGTTAGACCTAATTAAATGTTATTTTTTCACGTTTATGCAGTCTCTGGAGGGGTCAAGTTCAGTGTCAAATTCATTCAATTATCGAGCAGCAGCTGAGATTTTAATTTAATCAAAAACTTTTGCCTGTATCAGGGATAAGTCAGCTTCCTCCACAGTGGTTGTTAGTGGTTAGGGTGCGGGGTGTATTAGAGCAAACTGGCAAATTGTGTATGGCAGTCAAATTGGTGGACTCCCTGCTAAAGCGACTCCCTCCAATGCTCAAAATGAAGAAGGGTAAATGGAACATGGACAAGATGAAAGTGCAATGCCTGTATGAAGTCTATGAGTCATTTCAACAAATAGATTCCAGTTGCGTGTTCTACTGTCTTTGCTATTTTGCAAATGATGCAGCAGCAACCATTGTCAAAATCGAGAAATCGTACATTCTAATGGTATGTAGCTAATAGAGGCAAAGACAAAAGTGGATGTTGAATCAGATATGTTGCCTCTGATGTGGGGCAATAACATAAGGTTGGAAAAACGAAGCACTGACAGGAAAAAAATGTGATGAAAATCAGGTTACTGAACGAGTTTGATCAATATCTGTATAAGTCACAGGTCATGTAGTTAGATACACTTACAGCAAAGTAATCTGTTCTACCAAAGTTACGTTAATCCATCTTAGTTACCTAAACTGATATTTGTTTTCGAACTGCGTTTAGATTTTGATAAACCTACCTTGACTCCCGGTAGGACCCTGATCTATTTTGCCTTGTTCCACACAGTCCGTGCGCACAATCAGTGTGTAGAAGGCCAGTACGAGAACAGCTGAACAGATTAGAATTAACGGGAATAAGAAGATCCAAAATTCCCGCGGAAAAAATGTGCACTGCTCCGATTCACTGGCGACACACGTAGCTGGACAACATTTCATCGTCCCCGTCGTCTGTTCCGATGTTGGGGATAGTTCCGGAGTGGGAACACATGGATAGGTAGCCTCAGCTTGATTTGATTGTTCTGGTTGATCCGTTCTCAACCTCTCACCGGACTCGAACCACGTATCCGGAGTTTGCACTGCACGTAACGGTAACATCTCGTGCTCTTCCGGTTTCCCATATCGACCCAGTGCGATATTAAATTCACAAAACTCCAGGTTGATCGGGGAACAGCGTTCGAGGTAAACAGAAACCAAAGCGCAATTCTGTTCCGATTTCTTTGGTAATCAGCAGAAAGAGAGAACACACTGTCCACAGATCCTGGATGGTACCGAAATAGTGTGTGTGGTTTGAGCTGCTCCAATTTTTCGATCAGTTTGACCTTTGATGCGACACGTTACGGTGATCACCAAATGCACGAGCAAATGTAATCCAGTGACCTTTGAATTTGACCCACCCAGTAATGTGGTTTATCATGTCCGTGTGCGATTCAGTCGCCTGAGCTCGCTTGAGAGTGTAAACTGACTACTCACACACACACACACACACACACACACACACACACTTACACGCACATGCACTGATACATACACAAGCACACATGGATCAGTCATGGAATCAAGCGAACTGCCGCGAAGCGCCGTTAAACACAAAAAATAAGATAGAATTTACTGTTCACTAAAAATACGCCCCCTTTCTCCACTTTTACTCATCTAGTTACATCAGCTGTCAATCATCTTGTGGTACCTCGTCCCGTTCGTCATTCAGAATAATCATTAACTCCGCTTCGGATTCCCCTCTCAAGCAGTCCGATAAATGTTTGTTTGGATTGAGAATAAATGAACGTGATGCACACAATAATTGTGTTCTTTAAAAGGATTATGTGCAAGCATTTTGTCGCTGTGAATCTCGTTCTAGTAGTTTCTCTCAGCCCGGGGGTAAAATATGTCCCATCAGGACTGCCAGGTGAACAAAATCGCAGACGATGCGGCCCGAGGAATACCAATTCATTCCAACATTCACACCTTATGGTTTGCCGTGAGTCGATTGTACTGCACTGTTATTGTCAATATATCACTTTTAATGCATTTTGATAAAATTTTCCAAGCGCAACAACAAATTCCGGATGTTCAATTCAAATCATCAATTCTATACACGGAACTGCTGATTAACTACCCACGGAGTAACTTTGGATAATTTTCCGTCAGTGGCACAACAGGAATTCTTCTGGTTAGGAGGAATACACGTTACATGGGGGGAGATTCGCTCGAACAGGACCCAGAAAGCACGGATTGCAAAGTCTGGAAGCACTGCACAACTGACTGGACATTTTCGGGTCTTAGTATTTGTGTGAATCTTTCTAACCAACGCCGAGACGAACATCTGATTTCCAGGAATGCAGCCAACGGTTTCATAGCGTTAAAGACTGTTAAAGACTGAGTGGGAGGTGGCTTTCAGATCAAATTTGAGTCTGCAGAAGGGAAATCCGTGTACACGAATTGAGTGAGTAGTGACAATGCAGTTGATAAACACCAGATCCTATCTAAAATCAGGCGTGTGGCAAACAATCGAGAGAAACTATAGTGCCAATCACAACTTATGAAGCGATTTTGATCAAACTAATTCTCCCGTGTTCCTTCCTTCCTTGTAACTGGGCAATACAACCGATTCAAAACTAAAACCAAGACTGAACTCTCATCCGATCCGTAGGCTTTATACTTTTTCAGTTTACTGATGTCTTCAACAAGGTCTATTCATCTAGGAGGAAGAGCTGTGTCAAACGGTAGTAGTAAACCACTTGAGAGCAAATTTGGCAAATCTAACGATGACAAAGTTAGTTAGGTGAAACCTAGTTTTTCTGTTATCATCGAAGCTTTGGGATTTACTCACGAGTGCAAAATTGCGCAATTTTATTCGTTGTGTCAACATTGTGATATCGCTCGATAGGAAATTCAACAACCTTTCCAACGAGCCCTGATTGAGCCTCCTAAGTACAATTTCAAGCATTCTACGGATCTATCTGTGCAGTTCGGGGCAATCATTGCTGCCACTCGCAGTCGCACTTGTGTCTGTTTCACTGCGACCAGCAAAGCCGATCGTTATTCCCAAAGTGNGGATTGTTCTGTGTATTTGTGACCTCCACTGATCCGGACAAGCGGGCGACCAAGACAACTTCTCTCCCTTCGCATGACCTTTTCATATTTCGTCAGTCTCGCCGCTCGATAAAGTGCAAAAATGGGACGTCGCATAGTCTCAACAAGTGCCGCACCAGGTGTTTCGACGACATCGGAAGTATGCGGCCTACGGAGTTGTAAGAAAGAAGTTAAAACGGGGATATTTTGCACACACTGCCAGAAACACTTTCACCTTTCATGTGCCAAACTCTTGGTAAAACAGCCAAAACAGTTAGCCACTCAGTCAGAACGTATATGGTTCCGTACAGAATGTGCGGAAATCCCGATTGTAAAATGCGTCACTTGTATCACACACAAGAACGAGAAGCTATTGTCAGGAGCCGAAGAAAGGGTGAATTAAAAAATCACCACACTTGAGGCAAAAATAGCGGACTTAAGTTCATGGATAACACCAGCTAGCCCGATCCGGAAACCCAACAAACGACCAAAATGCCCGACACAAGTGGTCACCCAAAGGCAGGGGACGCACACGGCTGAACTGAGCGTGACAACAAAAGCAACAGTAGAAGCACCTGCTACCTCGGAATCCATACACACCCAGTGGCCTCCTTTATCTGCTTCTTCCAAGATAACAGCTCTGCCTGCCAGCTCTCCACTGCCAAAAAACTCTCTAACCCCCAATAACTTCGGCCGCTGTTGTGAAAAAGGGCCCCTTCGTATGCAGATGTCATTTCCCTCCACTTAGAAAAGCAGCTCCTGCAGCTGCATCGCAGCAGAAGCACCCGAAAAAAAGGGCAGGGATATCGTCTGCTGCATCGCCCTCACGGACAGACTCGACTCCCTCGTCCACGACATCCAGGCACGGTGCGTGTAACATGTCACGGACAGTTGAGAGGTGCCCCCGCGATTCGCA